CGCCTCCTCATGCTGCTGCCAGGTCCAGAGTCTCTCATGGGTCCCTGTACGGCCTCCCATTGCTGCTGTCTCCATCGCCACACTCTGCCATGTGCCACTTTCAGGTCTCCTCACACTGCTGGTGTGTTCAATTTTTTGACATAGGGTGCTGGCAGATTACGGGCCTCCCATAGCTGCTGCCAGGCCCCTAATCTGCCATGGGCCCCTATATACCGCCTCCTCATGCTGCTGCCAAGTCCAGAGTCTCTCATGGGTCCCTGTACGGCCTCCCATTGCTGCTGTCTCCATCGCCACACTCTGCCATGTGCCACTTTCAGGTCTCCTCACACACTGCTGGTGTGTGTTGAATTTTTTGACATAGGGTGCTGGCAGATTACGGGCCTCCTATAGCTGCTGCCAGGCCCCTAATCTGCCATGGGCCCCTATATACCGCCTCCTCATGCTGCTGCCAGGTCCAGAGTCTCTCATGGGTCCCTGTACGGCCTCCCATTGCTGCTGTCTCTCATCGCCACACTCTGCCATGTGCCACTTTCAGGTCTCCTCACACTGCTGGTGTGTTGAATTTTTTGACATAGGGTGCTGGCAGATTACGGGCCTCCCATATAGCTGCTGCCAGGCCCCTAATCTGCCATGGGCCCCTATATACCGCCTCCTCATGCTGCTGCCAGTCCAGAGTCTCTCATGGGTCCCTGTACGGCCTCCCATTGCTGCTGTCTCCATCGCCACACTCTGCCATGTGCCACTTTTCAGGTCTCTCCTCACACACTGCTGGTGTGTTGAATTTTTTTGACATAGGGTGCTGGCAGATTACGGGCCTCCTATAGCTGCTGCCAGGCCCCTAATCTGCCATGGGCCCCTATATACCGCCTCCTCATGCTGCTGCCAGGTCCAGAGTCTCTCATGGGTCCCTGTACGGCCTCCCATTGCTGCTGTCTCCATCGCCACACTCTGCCATGTGCCACTTTCAGGTCTCCTCACACACTGCTGGTGTGTTGAATTTTTTGACATAGGGTGCTGGCAGATTACGGGCCTCCTATAGCTGCTGCCAGGCCCCTATCTGCCATGGGCCCCTATATACCGCCTCCTCATGCTGCTGCCAGGTCCAGAGTCTCTCATGGGTCCCTGTACGGCCTCCCATTGCTGCTGTCTCCATCGCCACACTCTGCCATGTGCCACTTTCAGGTCTCCTCACACACTGCTGGTGTGTTGAATTTTTTGACATAGGGTGCTGGCAGATTACGGGCCTCCTATAGCTGCTGCCAGGCCCCTAATCTGCCATGGGCCCCTATATATACCGCTCCTCATGCTGCTGCCAGGTCCAGAGTCTCTCATGGGTCCCTGTACGGCCTCCCATTGCTGCTGTCTCCATCGCCACACTCTGCCATGTGCCACTTTCAGGTCTCCTCACACTGCTGGTGTGTTGAATTTTTTGACATAGGGGGTGCTGGCAGATTACGGGCCTCCCATAGCTGCTGCCAGGCCCCTAATCTGCCATGGGCCCCTATACCGCCTCCTCATGCTCTGCTGCTGCCAGGTCCAGAGTCTCTCATGGGTCCCTGTACGGCCTCCCATTGCTGCTGTCTCCATCGCCACTCTGCTGCCATGTGCCACACTTTCAGGTCTCCTCACACACACTGCTGGTGTGTTTGAATTTTTTTTTTTGACATAGGGTGCTGGCAGATTACGGGCCTCCTATAGCTGCTGCCAGGCCCCTAATCTGCCATGGGCCCCTATATACCGCCTCCTCATGCTGCTGCCAGGTCCAGGTCCAGATCTCTCATGGGTCCCTGTACGGCCTCCCATTGCTGCTGTCTCCATCGCCACACTCTGCCATGTGCCACTTTCAGGTCTCCTCACACACTGCTGGTGTGTTGAATTTTTTGACATAGGGTGCTGGCAGATTACGGGCCTCCCATAGCTGCTGCCAGGCCCCTAATCTGCCATGGGCCCCTATATACCGCCTCTCCTCATGCTGCTGCCAAGTCCAGAGTCTCTCATGGGTCCCTGTACGGCCTCCCATTGCTGCTGTCTCCATCGCCACACTCTGCCATGTGCCACTTTCAGGTCTCCTCACACACTGCTGGTGTGTTGAATTTTTTGACATAGGGTGCTGGCAGATTACGGGCCTCCCATAGCTGCTGCCAGGCCCCTAATCTGCCATGGGCCCCTATATACCGCCTCCTCATGCTGCTGCCAGTCCAGAGTCTCTCATGGGTCCCTGTACGGCCTCCCATTGCTGCTGTCTCCATCGCCACACTCTGCCATGTGCCCTTTCAGGTCTCCTCACACACTGCTGGTGTGTTGAATTTTTTGACATAGGGTGCTGGCAGATTACGGGCCTCCCATAGCTGCTGCCAGGCCCCTAATCTGCCATGGGCCCCTATATACCGCCTCCTCATGCTGCTGCCAGGTCCAGAGTCTCTCATGGGTCCCTGTACGGCCTCCCATTGCTGCTGTCTCCATCGCCACACTCTGCCATGTGCCACTTTCAGGTCTCCTCACACACTGCTGGTGTGTTGAATTTTTTGACATAGGGTGCTGGCAGATTACGGGCCTCCCATAGCTGCTGCCAGGCCCCTAATCTGCCATGGGCCCCTATATACCGCCTCCTCATGCTGCTGCCAGGTCCAGAGTCTCTCATGGGTCCCTGTACGGCCTCCCATTGCTGCTGTCTCCATCGCCACACTCTGCCATGTGCCACTTTCAGGTCTCCTCACACACTGCTGGTGTGTTGAATTTTTTTTTGACATAGGGTGCTGGCAGATTACGGGCCTCCTATAGCTGCTGCCAGGCCCCTAATCTGCCATGGGCCCCCTATATACCGCCTCCTCATGCTGCTGCCAGGTCCAGAGTCTCTCATGGGTCCCTGTACGGCCTCCCATTGCTGCTGTCTCCATCGCCACACTCTGCCATGTGCCACTTTCAGGTCTCCTCACACACTGCTGGTGTGTTGAATTTTTTTGACATAGGGTGCTGGCAGATTACGGGCCTCCTATAGCTGCTGCCAGGCCCCTAATCTGCCATGGGCCCCTATATACCGCCTCCTCATGCTGCTGCCAGGTCCAGAGTCTCTCATGGGTCCCTGTACGGCCTCCCATTGCTGCTGTCTCCATCGCCACACTCTGCCATGTGCCACTTTCAGGTCTCCTCTCACACTGCTGGTGTGTTTTTGTAATTTTTTGACATAGGGTGCTGGCAGATTACGGGCCTCCCATAGCTGCTGCCAGGCCCCTAATCTGCCATGGGCCCCTATATACCGCCTCCTCATGCTGCTGCCAGGTCCAGAGTCTCTCATGGGTCCCTGTACGGCCTCCCATTGCTGCTGTCTCCATCGCCACTCTCTGCCATGTGCCACTTTCAGGTCTCCTCACACACTGCTGGTGTGTTGAATTTTTTGACATAGGGTGCTGGCAGATTACGGGCCTCCCATAGCTGCTGCCAGGCCCCTAATCTGCCATGGGCCCCTATATACCGCCTCCTCATGCTGCTGCCAGGTCCAGAGTCTCTCATGGGTCCCTGTACGGCCTCCCATTGCTGCTGTCTCCATCGCCACACTCTGCCATGTGCCACTTTCAGGTCTCCTCACACACTGCTGGTGTGTTGAATTTTTTTGACATAGGGTGCTGGCAGATTACGGGCCTCCCATAGCTGCTGCCAGGCCCCTAATCTGCCATGGGCCCCTATATACCGCCTCCTCATGCTGCTGCCAGGTCCAGAGTCTCTCATGGGTCCCTGTACGGCCTCCCATTGCTGCTGTCTCCATCGCCACACACTCTGCCATGTGCCACTTTCAGGTCTCCTCACACACTGCTGGTGTGTTGAATTTTTTGACATAGGGTGCTGGCAGATTACGGGCCTCCCATAGCTGCTGCCAGGCCCCCCTAATCTGCCATGGGCCCCTATATACCGCCTCTCTCATGCTGCTGCCAGGTCCAGAGTCTCTCATGGGTCCCTGTACGGCCTCCCATTGCTGCTGTCTCCATCGCCACACTCTGCCATGTGCCACTTTCAGGTCTCCTCACACACTGCTGGTGTGTTGAATTTTTTGACATAGGGTGCTGGCAGATTACGGGCCTCCTATAGCTGCTGCCAGGCCCCTAATCTGCCATGGGCCCCTATATACCCTCCTCCTCATGCTGCTGCTGCCAGGTCCAGAGTCTCTCATGGGTCCCTGTACGGCCTCCCATTGCTGCTGTCTCCATCGCCACACTCTGCCATGTGCCACTTTCAGGTCTCCTCACACTGCTGGTGTGTTGAATTTTTTTTTGACATAGGGTGCTGGCAGATTACGGGCCTCCTATAGCTGCTGCCAGGCCCCCCTATCTGCCATGGGCCCCTATATACCGCCTCCTCATGCTGCTGCCAGGTCCAGAGTCTCTCATGGGTCCCTGTACGGCCTCCCATTGCTGCTGTCTCCATCGCCACACTCTGCCATGTGCCACTTTCAGGTCTCCTCACACACTGCTGGTGTGTGAATTTTTTGACATAGGGTGCTGGCAGATTACGGGCCTCCCATAGCTGCTGCCAGGCCCCTAATCTGCCATGGGCCCCTATATACCGCCTCCTCATGCTGCTGCCAGGTCCAGAGTCTCTCATGGGTCCCTGTACGGCCTCCCATTGCTGCTGTCTCCATCGCCACACTCTGCCATGTGCCACTTTCAGGTCTCCTCACACACTGCTGGTGGTGTGTTGAATTTTTTGACATAGGGTGCTGGCAGATTACGGGCCTCCTATAGCTGCTGCCAGGCCCCTAAATCTGCCATGGGCCCCTATATACCGCCTCCTCATGCTGCTGCCAGGTCCAGAGTCTCTCATGGGTCCCTGTACGGCCTCCCATTGCTGCTGTCTCCATCGCCACACTCTGCCATGTGCCACTTTTCAGGTCTCCTCACACACTGCTGGTGTGTTGAATTTTTTGACATAGGGTGCTGGCAGATTACGGGCCTCCCATAGCTGCTGCCAGGCCCCTAATCTGCCATGGGCCCCTATATACCGCCTCCTCATGCTGCTGCCAGGTCCAGAGTCTCTCATGGGTCCCTGTACGGCCTCCCATTGCTGCTGTCTCCATCGCCACACTCTGCCATGTGCCACTTTCAGGTCTCCTCACACTGCTGGTGGTGTGTAGAATTTTTTGACATAGGGTGCTGGCAGATTACGGGCCTCCTATATAGCTGCTGCCAGGCCCCTAATCTGCCATGGGCCCCTATATACCGCCTCCTCATGCTGCTGCCAGGTCCAGAGTCTCTCATGGGTCCCTGTACGGCCTCCCATTGCTGCTGTCTCCATCGCCACACTCTGCCATGTGCCACTTTCAGGTCTCCTCACACACTGCTGGTGTGTTGAATTTTTTGACATAGGGTGCTGGCAGATTACGGGCCTCCTATAGCTGCTGCCAGGGCCCCTAATCTGCCATGGGCCCCTATATACCGCCTCCTCATGCTGCTGCCAGGTCCAGAGTCTCTCATGGGTCCCTGTACGGCCTCCCATTGCTGCTGTCTCCATCGCCACACTCTGCCATGTGCCACTTTCAGGTCTCCTCACACACTGCTGGTGTGTTGAATTTTTTGACATAGGGTGCTGGCAGATTACGGGCCTCCCATATAGCTGCTGCCAGGCCCCTAATCTGCCATGGGCCCCTATATACCGCCTCCTCATGCTGCTGCCAGGTCCAGAGTCTCTCATGGGTCCCTGTACGGCCTCCCATTGCTGCTGTCTCCATCGCCACACTCTGCCATGTGCCACTTTCAGGTCTCCTCACACTGCTGGTGTGTTGAATTTTTTGACATAGGGTGCTGGCAGATTACGGGCCTCCCATAGCTGCTGCCAGGCCCCTAATCTGCCATGGGCCCCTATATACCGCCTCCTCATGCTGCTGCCAGGTCCAGAGTCTCTCATGGGTCCCTGTACGGCCTCCCATTGCTGCTGTCTCCATCGCCACACTCTGCCATGTGCCACTTTCAGGTCTCCTCACACACTGCTGGTGTGTGAAGAATTTTTTGACATAGGGTGCTGGCAGATTACGGGCCTCCTATAGCTGCTGCCAGGCCCCTAATCTGCCATGGGCCCCTATATACCGCCTCCTCATGCTGCTGCCAGGTCCAGAGTCTCTCATGGGTCCCTGTACGGCCTCCCATTGCTGCTGTCTCCATCGCCACACTGCCATGTGCCACTTTCAGGTCTCCTCACACACTGCTGGTGTGTTGAATTTTTTGACATAGGGTGCTGGCAGATTACGGGCCTCCCCATAGCTGCTGCCAGGCCCCTAATCTGCCATGGGCCCCTATATACCGCCTCCTCATGCTGCTGCCAGGTCCAGAGTCTCTCATGGGTCCCTGTACGGCCTCCCATTGCTGCTGTCTCCATCGCCACACTCTGCCATGTGCCACTTTCAGGTCTCCTCACACTGCTGGTGTGTTGAATTTTTTGACATAGGGTGCTGGCAGATTACGGGCCTCCCATAGCTGCTGCCAGGCCCCTAATCTGCCATGGGCCCCTATATACCGCCTCCTCATGCTGCTGCCAGGTCCAGAGTCTCTCATGGGTCCCTGTACGGCCTCCCATTGCTGCTGTCTCCATCGCCACACTCTGCCATGTGCCACTTTCAGGTCTCCTCACACACTGCTGGTGTGTGTTGAATTTTTTGACATAGGGTGCTGGCAGATTACGGGCCTCCTATAGCTGCTGCCAGGCCCCTAATATCTGCCATGGGCCCCTATATATACCGCCTCCTCATGCTGCTGCCAGGTCCAGAGTCTCTCATGGGTCCCTGTACGGCCTCCCATTGCTGCTGTCTCCATCGCCACACTCTGCCATGTGCCACTTTCAGGTCTCCTCACACTGCTGGTGTGTTGAGAATTTTTTGACATAGGGTGCTGGCAGATTACGGGCCTCCCATAGCTGCTGCCAGGCCCCCCTAATCTGCCATGGGCCCCTATATACCGCCTCCTCATGCTGCTGCCAGTCCAGAGTCTCTCATGGGTCCCTGTACGGCCTCCCATTGCTGCTGTCTCCATCGCCACACTCTGCCATGTGCCACTTTGCTTTCAGGTCTCCTCACACACTGCTGGTGGTGTGTAGAATTTTTTGACATAGGGTGCTGGCAGATTACGGGCCTCCCATAGCTGCTGCCAGGCCCCTAATCTGCCATGGGCCCCTATATACCGCCTCCTCATGCTGCTGCCAGGTCCAGAGTCTCTCATGGGTCCCCTGTACGGCCTCCCATTGCTGCTGTCTCCATCGCCACACTCTGCCATGTGCCACTTTCAGGTCTCCTCACACACTGCTGGTGTGTTGAATTTTTTGACATAGGGTGCTGGCAGATTACGGGCCTCCCATAGCTGCTGCCAGGCCCCTAATCTGCCATGGGCCCCTATATACCGCCTCCTCATGCTGCTGCCAGTCAGAGTCCAGAGTCTCTCATGGGTCCCTGTACGGCCTCCCATTGCTGCTGTCTCCATCGCCACACTCTGCCATGTGCCACTTTCAGGTCTCCTCACACACTGCTGGTGTGTTGAATTTTTTGACATAGGGTGCTGGCAGATTACGGGCCTCCCATAGCTGCTGCCAGGCCCCTAATCTGCCATGGGCCCCTATATACCGCCTCCTCATGCTGCTGCCAAGTCCAGAGTCTCTCATGGGTCCCTGTACGGCCTCCCATTGCTGCTGTCTCCATCGCCACACTCTGCCATGTGCCACTTTCAGGTCTCCTCACACTGCTGGTGTGTTTGAATTTTTTGACATAGGGTGCTGGCTGGCAGATTACGGGCCTCCTCCTATAGCTGCTGCCAGGCCCCTAATCTGCCATGGGGCCCCCCTATATACCGCCTCCTCATGCTGCTGCCAGGTCCAGAGTCTCTCATGGGTCCCTGTACGGCCTCCCATTGCTGCTGTCTCCATCGCCACACTCTGCCATGTGCCACTTTCAGGTCTCCTCACACACTGCTGGTGTGTTGAATTTTTTGACATAGGGTGCTGGCAGATTACGGGCCTCCCATAGCTGCTGCCAGGCCCCTAATCTGCCATGGGCCCCTATATACCGCCTCCTCATGCTGCTGCCAGGTCCAGAGTCTGTCTCTCATGGGTCCCTGTACGGCCTCCCATTGCTGCTGTCTCCATCGCCACACTCTGCCATGTGCCTTTCAGGTCTCCTCACACACTGCTGGTGTGTTTGAATTTTTTGACATAGGGTGCTGGCAGATTACGGGCCTCCTATAGCTGCTGCCAGGCCCCTAATCTGCCATGGGCCCCTATACCGCCTCCTCATGCTGCTGCCAGGTCCAGAGTCTCTCATGGGTCCCTGTACGGCCTCCCCCATTGCTGCTGTCTCCATCGCCACACTCTGCCATGTGCCACTTTCAGGTCTCCTCACACTGCTGGTGTGTTGAATTTTTTGACATAGGGTGCTGGCAGATTACGGGCCTCCTATAGCTGCTGCCAGGCCCCTAATCTGCCATGGGCCCCTATATACCGCCTCCTCATGCTGCTGCCAGGTCCAGAGTCTCTCATGGGTCCCTGTACGGCCTCCCATTGCTGCTGTCTCCATCGCCACACTCTGCCATGTGCCACTTTCAGGTCTCCTCACACACTGCTGGTGTGTTGAATTTTTTGACATAGGGTGCTGGCAGATTACGGGCCTCCATAGCTGCTGCCAGGCCCCTAATCTGCCATGGGCCCCTATATACCGCCTCCTCATCATGCTGCTGCCAAGTCCAGAGTCTCTCATGGGTCCCTGTACGGCCTCCCATTGCTGCTGTCTCCATCGCCACACTCTGCCATGTGCCACTTTCAGGTCTCCTCACACTGCTGGTGTGTGTTGAATTTTTTGACATAGGGTGCTGGCAGATTACGGGCCTCCTATAGCTGCTGCCAGGCCCCTAATCTGCCATGGGCCCCTATATACCGCCTCCTCATGCTGCTGCCAGGTCCAGAGTCTCTCATGGGTCCCTGTACGGCCTCCATTGCTGCTGCTGTCTCCATCGCCACACTCTGCTGCCATGTGCCACTTTCAGGTCTCCTCACACACTGCTGGTGTGTTAATTTTTTAGGGTGCTGGCAGATTACGGGCCTCCTATAGCTGCTGCCAGGCCCCCCTCTGCCATGGGCCCCTATATACCGCCTCCTCATGCTGCTGCCAAGTCCAGAGTCTCTCATGGGTCCCTGTACGGCCTCCCATTGCTGCTGCCAGGAGGCAGCAGGGTCGCAGCAGTGTCAGTGGAGGCCAATGGCCACGGAGTAGCACACTTTCAGCTCCTGCTGCAGCCTACCACCCACGGCCAGTAGTGGTGCCGGTGTGCACACGGAGGAAGTAGCAGTCAGCCAGTGAGGAGTAGCGGGGGCAAAGTTTCATACTCTGCGGTGTGGCAATTTTTCGTCATCCGCCCGAGGAAGTAAAAACGTAGCCTGTGTCATTTATGTCGACTATGTGGCCAGAAAGTCAAGCGTGGCCAGGGGGCCCATGTTGGGACTACAGTGTTGCGTCAGCATATGCAGCGTCGCCCATTCGGTGGCCTGGGAATAACCATATAAAGATACGGCGGTTCTGCCTGCCCCAGCCAGGGTTCCATTTTGTCATAGGGTGCTGGCAGATTACAGGCCTCCCATAGGTGCTGCCAGGCCCCAAATCGGCCATGGGCCCCCGTACCGCCCTCCTCACGCTGCTGCTGAGCCCACAGTGTGACCTGGGTCCCTGTACGGCCTCCCATTGCTTCCACTCTGCCATGTGCCACTTTGAAATCTCCTCACACTCTGCGGTTGTCCATTTTGTCATAGGTTGCTGGCAGATTACAGGCCTTCCATAGGTGCCACCAGGGCCCCAAATCGGCCATGGGCCCCCGTACCGCCTGGTCACGCTGCTGCTGAGCCCACAGTGTGACCATGGGTCCCTGTACCGCCTCCATTGCTCCCACTCTGCCATGTGCCACTTTGAGGTCTCCTCACACATGCTGGTGTGTTCAATTTTTTGACATAGGGTGCTGGCAGATTACGGGCCTCCCATTGCTGCTGCCAGGCACGTAATCTGCCATGGGCCCCCGTACCGACTCCTCATGCTGTGACGTTGCAACAAGGTGGAATTCAACACTACATATGTTAGACCGCCTTTACGAACAGCGAAAGGCCATCACAGATTTCCTGATGTTAAAAGCGGATAAAGGTACTCCCTGTGTAACTTAGATGTCAGCCATTGTCAGCTCATGCGTGACACCTGCGCTTGCTCAGGCCCTTTGAGGAGGCCACGCTATTCGTGAGTCGGCAGGACTATGGGATGAACGAGGTCAAATCGGCCTATGGGCCCCCCGTACCGCCTGTTCACGCTGATGCTGGTCCCACAGTGTGACCTGGGTCCCTGTACCGCCTCCCATTGCTCCACTCTGCCATGTGCCACTTTGAGGTCTCCTCACACTCCTGCGGTTTTCATTTTGTCATAGGTTGCTGGCAGGTTACAGGGCCTCCCATAGGTGCTGCCAGGCCCCAAATCTGCCATGGGCCCCCGTGTACCGCCTGGTCACGCTGCTGCTGCTGGGCCCACAGTGTGACCTGGGTCCCTGTACCGCCTCCCATTGCTCCCACTCTGCCATGTGCCACTTTCAGGTCTCCTCACACTTCCTGCTGGTTTTCCATTTTGTCATAGGTTGCTGTATGGCCTCCCATTGCTGCTGCCTCCACCGCCACACTGTGGCTCCAAACACTGGTTTTGGCCCCGTGACTGGCCAAATGAGTGAAGTGTGCGGTGATTCTAAGATCGACGGCACTCATCTGCATGTCATACTGACAGTGACCCTTACAGTATTATTTCTCTTCCCCACCAGCAGACTCCAAGGGCATTTAAATTAAAGGTACAGTGTTCTGCACTAATTTAAGTCTCTCTGAATTTAAACTTAATAAAAAGGGTGTTTCTAGGCTTCAGAGAGATTAATATTAGTGCAGAACAACTGTACCTTTAATTTAAATGCCCTTGGAGTCTGCTGGGGAAGAGAAATAATACTGTCACTCAGTATGACATGCAGATGAGTGCCGTCGATCTTAGAATCACCGCACACTTCACTCATTTGGCCAGTCACGGGGCCAAAACCAGTGTTTGGAGCCACAGTGTGGCGGTGGAGGCAGCAGCAATGGGAGGCCATACAGCAACCTATGACAAAATGGAAACCAGCAGGAGTGTGAGGAGACCTGAAAGTGGCACATGGCAGAGTGTGGAGCAATGGGAGGCGGTACAGGGACCCAGGTCACACTGTGGGCCCCCAGGCAGCAGCGTGACCAGGCGGTACGGGGGGCCCATGGCAGATTTGGGGCCTGGCAGCACCTATGGGAGGCCTTGTAACCTGCCAGCAAACCTATGACAAATGGAAAAACCGCAGGAGTGTGAGGGACCTCAAAGTGGCACATGGCAGAGTGGGGAGCAATGGGAGGCGGTACAGGGACCCAGGTCACACTGTGGGACCAGCATCAGCGTGAACAGGCGGTACGGGGGCCCATGGCCGATTTGGCCTCGTTCATCCAATAGTCCTGCCGACTCACGAATAGCGTGGCCTCCTCAAAGGGCCTGAGCAAGCGCAGGTGTCACGCATGAGCTGACAATGGCTGACATCTAAGTTACACAGGGAGTACCTTTATCCGCTTTTAACATCAGGAAATCTGTGATGGCCTTTCGCTGTTCGTAAAGGCGGTCTAACATATGTAGTGTTGAATTCCACCTTGTTGCAACGTCACAGCATGAGGAGTCGGTACGGGGGCCCATGGCAGATTACGTGCCTGGCAGCAGCAATGGGAGGCCCGTAATCTGCCAGCACCCTATGTCAAAAAATTGAACACACACCAGCAGTGTGAGGAGAGACCTCAAAGTGGCACATGGCAGAGTGGGAGCAGCAATGGGAGGCGGTACAGGGACCCAGGTCACACTGTGGGCTCAGCAGCAGCGTGACCAGGCGCGGTACGGGGGCCCATGGCCGATTTGGGGCCTGGTGGCACCTATGGAAGGCCTGTAATCTGCCAGCAACCCTATGACAAAATGGACAACCGCAGGGAGTGTGAGGAGATTTCAAAGTGGCACATGGCAGAGTGGAAGCAATGGGAGGCCGTACAGGGACCCAGGTCACACTGTGGGCTCAGCAGCATGCGTGACCAGGCGGTACGGGGGCCCATGGCACCGATTTGGGGCCTGGCGGCACCTATGGAGGCCTGTAATCTGCCAGCACCCTATGACAAAATGGAACCCTGGGCTGGGGCAGGCAGAACCGCCGTATCTTTATCACGGTTTTCCCAGGCACCGAATGGCGACGCTGCATATGCTGACGCAACAACTGTAGTCCCAACATGGGCCCCTGGCCACGCTTGACTTTCTGGCCACATAGTCGACATACGGCTACGTTTACTTCCTCGGGCGGCTTGACGAAAAATTGCCACACACCGCAGAGTAGGAAACTTTGCCCTCCGCTACTCCTCACTGGCTGACTGCTACTTCCTCCGTGCACACCGGCACCACTACTGGCCGTGGGTGGTGGCTGCAGTGGAGCTGGTGCTCTACTCCGTGGCCGTTTGCCTCCACTGACACTGCTGCGAGTGTGGCTTGCCTCCTGGCAGCAGCAATGGGAGGCCGTACAGGGACCCATGAGAGACTCTGGACTTGGCAGCAGCAGCATGAGGAGGCGGTATATAGGGGCCCATGGCAGATTAGGGGCCTGGCAGCAGCTATAGGAGGCCCGTAATCTGCCAGCACCCTATGTCAAAAAATTCAACACACCAGCAGTGTGTGAGGAGACCTGAAAGTGGCACATGGCAGAGTGTGGCGATGGAGACAGCAGCAATGGGAGGCCCGTACAGGGACCCATGAGAGACTCTGGACCTGGCAGCAGCATGAGGAGGCGGCGGTATATAGGGGCCCATGGCAGATTAGGGGCCTGGCAGCAGCAGCTATAGGAGGCCCGTAATCTGCCAGCACCCTATGTCAAAAAAATTCAACACACCAGCAGTGTGAGGAGACCTGAAAGTGGCACATGGCAGAGTGTGGCAGTGTGTGTGGCGATGGAGACAGCAGCAATGGGAGGCCGTACAGGGACCCATGAGAGACTCTGGACTCTGGCAGCAGCATGAGGAGGCGGTATATAGGGGCCCATGGCAGATTAGGGGCCTGGCAGCAGCTATGGGAGGCCCGTAATCTGCCAGCACCCTATGTCAAAAAATTCAACACACCAGCAGTGTGTGAGAGAGACCTGAAAGTGGCACATGGCAGAGTGTGGCGATGGAGACAGCAGCAATGGGAGGCCGTACAGGGACCACCATGAGAGACTCTGGACTTGGCAGCAGCATGAGGAGGAGGCGGTATATAGGGGCCCATGGCAGATTAGGGGCCTGGCAGCAGCTATATGGGAGGCCCCGTAATCTGCCAGCACCCCTATGTCAAAAAATTCTACACACCAGCAGTGTGAGGAGACCTGAAAGTGGCACATGGCAGAGTGTGGCGATGGAGACAGCAGCAATGGGAGAGGCCGTACAGGGACCCATGAGAGACTCTGGACCTGGCAGCAGCATGAGGAGGCGGGTATATAGGGGCCCATGGCAGATTAGGGGCCTGGCAGCAGCTATAGGGAGGCCCGTAATCTGCCAGCACCCTATGTCAAAAAAATTCTACACACCAGCAGTGTGAGAGGAGACCTGAAAGTGGCACATGGCAGAGTGTGGCGATGGAGACAGCAGCAATGGGAGGCCGTACAGGGACCCATGAGAGACTCTGGACCTGGCAGCAGCATGAGGAGGCGGTATATATAGGGGCCCATGGCAGATTAGGGGCCTGGGCAGCAGCAGCTATAGGAGGCCCGTAATCTGCCAGCACCCTATGTCAAAAAATTCAACACACCAGCAGTGTGAGGAGGAGACCTGAAAGTGGCACATGGCAGCAGAGTGTGGCGATGGAGACAGCAGCAATGGGAGGCCGTACAGGGACCCATGAGAGACTCTGGACCTGGGCAGCAGCATGAGGAGGCGGTATATAGGGGCCCATGGCAGATTAGGGGCCTGGCAGCAGCTATAGGAGGCCCGTAATCTGCCCAGCACCCTATGTCAAAAAATTCTACACACCCAGCAGTGTGTGAGGAGACCTGAAAGTGGGCACATGGCAGAGTGTGGCGATGGAGACAGCAGCAATGGGAGGCCGTACAGGGACCCATGAGAGACTCTGGACTTGGCAGCAGCATGATGAGGAGGCGGTATATAGGGGGCCATGGCAGATTAGGGGCCTGGCAGCAGCTATGGAGGCCCGTAATCTGCCAGCACCCTATGTCAAAAAATTCAACACACCAGCAGTGTGTGTGAGGAGACCTGAAAGTGGCACATGGCAGCAGAGTGTGGCGATGGAGACAGCAGCAATGGGAGGCCGTTACAGGGACCCATGAGAGACTCTGGACTTGGCAGCAGCATGAGGAGGCGGCGGTATATAGGGGCCCCCCATGGCAGATTAGGGGCCTGGCAGCAGCTATAGGAGGCCCGTAATCTGCCAGCACCCTATGTCAAAAAATTCAACACACCAGCAGTGTGTGAGGAGACCTGAAAGTGGCACATGGCAGCAGAGTGTGGCGATGGAGACAGCAGCAATGGGAGGCCGTACAGGGACCCATGAGAGACTCTGGACCTGGCAGCAGCATGAGGAGGGCGGTATATAGGGGCCCATGGCAGATTAGGGGCCTGGCAGCAGCTATGGAGGCCCGTAATCTGCCAGCACCCTATGTCAAAAAATTCTACACACCAGCAGTGTGTGAGGAGACCTGAAAGTGGCACATGGCAGAGTGTGGCGATGGAGACAGCAGCAATGGGAGGCCGTATCAGGGACCCATGAGAGGACTCTGGACTTGGCAGCAGCATGAGGAGGCGGTATATAGGGGGCCTATGGCAGATTAGGGGCCCTGGCAGCAGCTATAGGAGGCCCGTAATCTGCCAGCACCCTATGTCAAAAAATTCTACACACCAGCAGTGTGTGAGGAGACCTGAAAGTGGCACATGGCAGAGTGTGGCGGCGATGGAGGAGACAGCAGCAATGGGAGGCCGTACAGGGACCCATGAGAGACTCTGGACCTGGCAGCAGCATGAGGATGCATGGGAGGCGGGTATATAGGGGCCCATGGCAGATTAGGGGCCTGGCAGCAGCTATAGGAGGCCCGTAATCTGCACCAGCACCCTATGTCAAAAAAATTCAACACACCAGCAGTGTGTGAGGAGACCTGAAAGTGGCACATGGCAGAGTGTGGCGATGGAGGACAGCAGCAATGGGAGGCCGTACAGGGACCCATGAGAGACTCTGGACTTGGCAGCAGCATGAGGAGGCGGGGTATATATAGGGGCCCATGGCAGATTAGGGGCCTGGCAGCAGCATATGGAGGCCCGTAATCTGCCAGCACCCTATGTCAAAAAATTACACACACCAGCAGTGTGAGGAGACCTGAAAAGGGCACATGGCAGAGTGTGGCGATGGAGACAGCAGCAATGGGAGGCCGTACAGGGACCCATGAGAGACTCTGGACCTGGCAGCAGCATGAGGAGGCGGTATATAGGGGCCCATGGCAGATTAGGGGGCCCTGGCAGCAGCTATAGGAGGCCCGTAATCTGCCAGCACCCTATGTCAAAAAATTCAAACACACCAGCAGTGTGAGGAGACCTGAAAGTGGCACATGGCAGAGTGTGGCGATGGAGACAGCAGCAATGGGAGGCCGTACAGGGAGACCCATGAGAGAGACTCTGGACCCATGGCAGAGCAGCAGGCCCGTAATCTGCCAGCACCCTATGATACACCAGCCACAGGTGTGAGGAGACCTGCGGTATATAGGGGCCCATGGCAGATTAGGGGCCTGGCAGCAGCTATAGGAGGCCCGTAATCTGCCAGCACCCTATGTCAAAAAATTCTACACACCAGCAGTGTGTGAGGAGACCTGAAAGTGGCACATGGCAGAGTGTGTGGCGATGGAGACAGCAGCAATGGGAGGCCGTACAGGGACCCATGAGAGACTCTGGACCTGGCAGCAGCATGAGGAGGGCGGTATATATATAGGGGCCCATGGCAGATTAGGGGCCTGGCAGCAGCTATAGGAGGCCCGTAATCTGCCAGCACCCTATGTCAAAAAATTCTACACACAGCAGTGTGTGAGGAGACCTGAAAGTGGCACATGGCAGAGTGTGGCGATGGAGACAGCAGCAATGGGAGGCCGTACAGGGACCCATGAGAGACTCTGGACCTGGCAGCAGCATGAGGAGGCGGCGGTATATAGGGGCCCATGGCAGATTAGGGGGCCTGGCAGCAGCTATAGGAGGCCCGTAATCTGCCAGCACCCTATGTCAAAAAATTCTACACACCAGCAGTGTGTGAGGAGACCTGAAAGTGGCACATGGCAGAGTGTGGCGATGGAGACAGCAGCAATGGGAGGCCGTACAGGGACCCATGAGAGACTCTGGACTTGCAGCAGCATGAGGCGGGCGGTATATAGGGGCCCATGGCAGATTAGGGGCCTGGCAGCAGCTATAGGAGGCCCGTAATCTGCCAGCACCCTATGTCAAAAAATTCTACACACCAGCAGTGTGTGAGGAGACCTGAAAGTGCACATGGCAGAGTGTGGGCGATGGAGACAGCAGCAATGGGAGGCCGTACAGGGACCCATGAGAGACTCTGGACCTGGCAGCAGCAGCATGAGGAGGCTGGTGGTATATAGGGGGCCCCATGGCAGATTAGGGGCCTGGCAGCAGCTATGGAGGCCCGTAATCTGCCAGCACCCTATGTCAAAAAATTCAACACACCAGCAGTGTGTGAGGAGACCTGAAAGTGGCACATGGCAGAGTGTGGCGATGGAGACAGCAGCAATGGGAGGCCGTACAGGGACCCATGAGAGACTCTGGACTTGGCAGCAGCATGAGGAGGCGGTATATAGGGGCCCATGGCAGATTAGGGGCCTGGGCAGCAGCTATGGAGGCCCGTAATCTGCCAGCACCCTATGTCAAAAAATTCAACACACCAGCAGTGTGTGAGGAGACCTGAAAGTGGCACATGGCAGAGTGTGGCGATGGAGACAGCAGCAATGGGAGGCCGTATACAGGGACCCCATGAGAGACTCTGGACTTGGCAGCAGCATGAGGAGGCGGTATATAGGGGCCCATGGCAGATTAGGGGCCTGGCAGCAGCTATGGAGGCCCGTAATCTGACAGCACCCTATGTCAAAAAAATTCAACACACGTGGCGATGGATGACAGCAGCAATGGGAGGCCGTACAGGGACACCATGAGAGACTCTAGGACATGGCAGCAAGCATGAGGAGGCGGAATTATAGGGGCAATATGGAAAGATTAGGGGCCTGGCCAGCAGCTATAGGAGGCCAGTAAATTTGCTGAAAGCACCACTATGTCAAAAAATTCAACACTAACACCAGCAGTGTGTGAGCAGACCTGAATAGTGGCACATGCAGAGTGTGGCAGTATGGAGACAGCAGCAATGGGAGGAAGCCGTATATGGTCCACCATGATTAGACTCTGGACTTGGCAACAGCATGAGGAGGCGGTTATAGAGGTCCCATGGCAGATTAGGGGCCTGGCAGCAGCTATAGGAGCCCCGTAATTTATTCTGCCAGCACCCTAGGTCACTAATACGCATACACGAACAGCAGTGTGAGGAGTACCTGAAAGTGGCACACCCCCTGCAACGGAGTGTGGCGATGGAGACAGCAGCAAATGGGAGGCCGTACTGGGGAACATATGACAAGACTTCTAGACCCTGCAAGCAGCATGAGGAGGCGGTAAATAGGGGCCCATGTCAGATTATGGCATGCACAGCTATAGGTGAGGCCCGTAATCTGCATGCACCCTTCATGTCAAAAAATTCTAAACACCAGCAGTGTGAGGAGACATGAAAGTGGCACTGGCATGCAGAGTGTGGCGATGGAGACAGATGCAATGGGAGGCAGTTCAGGGACCAATGACAGGCTATAACTTGGCAGCAGCATTGAGGAGGGGTATTTAGGGGCCCATGGCTGATTAGGGAATGGCAGAAGCTATGGGAGCCCGTAATATGATGCAACCCTAATGTTGTCAATAATTTAAACACACCAGCAGTGTGTAAGAGACCTGAATGTGGCACATGGCAGCAGAGTGGTGGCGATGGGACAGAAGCAATTGGGAGGCCATTAGGGACCAATGAAAGACTCTGGAATTGGGAAGCGCATGAGGAGGCGGTATTTTGGGGCCCATGGCAGATTAGGGCCTGGAGCGTATGGGAGGCCCGTAAATCTGCCGCCCCCTTTGAAAAAAAAATGGAACCCCACCGCAGTGTGTGAGGAGCCCTAAAGGGGCACTTGTTTGGGCATGTTTCATGGGGAAATTTAGTCGTTGTGTCGGGAAAACTGGTGGTTTAAAAATCCAGACTAATCCACGCCTGTTTCTTTTTCACAAAACGTGAGTCTCCCCAAACTATTTGGGGGGCCCCCAAGTCGTTTTCCCCCGGGGAAAGGTTAAAATTTCCCCCTTTGCCGCACATAAACACCCCTCCCCGATGCCCCTTTTTCGGGCCCCGGGCCCATGACACCCTTTTTTCAAGGGAAAATTCAGTGGGGGGGGGCCCAAAAGGGTTTAAAGTTTCGTTGCCCAGTATTTAAAGGGGATTTTTCTCCTGGGTTTGGGCCCAGGGGGGCTGTCCAAGTGGGCCCCAAAAGCCTGTT